ATGGAGCGCCCTTAGTATCTGCCTCCTGAACTGCAGAGTGCAAAGCTGGGTTTCCAGCAGAGAAGTTGTTAGACCAACTGCTGCTGCAGGGTTAACGGAGCATAATCCACCTGCAAAACTGCATATTGGTTGGCAAAGCTGGAACAGCTGTGTGGTGTAGATGCGTGCTTCACACTGCTGCAGGTGCAAGAAAGGATAAAAGTGACTGGTTTAGCCTACATAATGAGGGAATATAAGTGGGTGGATATCAGCTAAATGGTCTCAAGCCATAAAAATTTCTTGTTTTGTTTTTTTTACTTGTTAAAGGTTGTTTAGTTCTACCTGGAGTTTCAGACTGTTTTATATGTGTACAAAACTGTTAACAGTAACAGCAGGCAAGTTAGGTTAGGTCTGTTTTGTTTTGGAACAGATCAACAGTAAGGATGCCATAAAGGTGACAACCAAACTCAAGTCAGAAAGATCGATTTAACACTTGGTGTCCCATTTGGGAATACTTGGGATTTTGGTCTGTAAAAGACCAAGACTGTGGAACGTTAACTGAGATAAAAGCTTCACGCCATAGTTTCCTAATGGTTTTATTATCTTCACAACTCATTCTGAGGAAAAGATCCTTGTTGTTCCATGTTACTGAAAGCAGAGCTCTCTCAGAACCTCAAAGGTTCATTCAGTAAAACTTAATCTAATAATTATACTTGCTTATTTTGTCAGTTGTAGGTATTTAGATCTTTAGTAACAGGTTTATTTGTGGTATTGGTTTGCCCTCTTGTGGTCATGATGTAATATTTAAATAGTTCCAACCTGTGTGGCTCTTTAAAACAAATAAGTGACCTCTGGCACCTTTTGACAGCCCTAACAGCAAAGGTGAGATTTAGAGAGGTTTATTTTGCAGAAACAGTGTTGATGACTAATAATGAGGTAACCTCAGTAGGATAAAGAAACATAGTTTAACTAAACATTAGTAAACAGAGGCTTTGAAAAGTACTCAGACATGTGACCCAGATCAGTCCTGTTTTATTTACCGGTGTTGGCTGCTCCTGTGTGCTCCGCTTCTCCTCCTCTTCTACACTCCTGCAGCAGCTCTGACAGATCCACAGAGGCACCTCTCCCAGCAGGGACTGAGATAGTGAGGGCACAGCATCAGCGAGCTTACGCCCTGGCGCCTCCCGCAATAAAGCTTGGGAGAGCGCAGGCACGGCGTTGGCCAGCTTCGTTCCATGGCCCCCGGGAAGCCCGTTCACAGAACTCGCTCCCCAGTCCTTAAATTCACGATGGCACAGGAGACAGCAGGTGTGCATAGGCTAGGCAGAAAAAGAGAGAAGAAAGCGTTCCATATATAAGATGTGTTGACTGATTGATGCATATAATTGCAACAGATATCACAGACTAAAACATATATTAATTAAGCTCATAATACTGTGCACGCAATACATACCAAAGTGCTAAAAAGCAATGACAAAGATCAAATTATTTCCTCGCTGGACCTTTTGCAAGCATTGTGTGACAGAACCATCATAAGAAAAAACAAAACAAACAAAAAGCAAAAAGTAACACCACAAAAACAAATAAAAATAACAATAACAAATAAATGTAATTTAACCATCATGTTAACTTTAACACATAGTAAAATTATGTAGTAGATTCACTCTCTGCAATGCTCCACGCTTAATCAATCAAGGTTTGTGCCCTAGATCAAAGCCTGAAAAGCAAACTGATTATGCTTGTAATTCATGGTTTAGGGGGAAACGATTCAAAACACATTCACAGTCAGCTCAAAATTAAACTGCATCCTTAACGATCAATGTCAAGAAACTTTGGTGTTTTGGTGATTGTTCTAGATAAATGTTTAAATGTTCAATGAGGGTGGATTACCTATCTTTAACCCTTGTGTATAACATTCACAACCATTCTCTCACCGTTACAGTAGGGGGATATTTCATTCAATACTCTTGCACCCACAGTCCCTAGACTTTGATTTAGATGAGGGAAAAGTTCTCCTTAACAGGAAAAAGCAGGTGAGAAAAAACTAAAGATCAATTGGAATAATATGTCTTTTGCAAAAGGGACAAACATCTAGAATACCAGATTACAAACATATTAGAAATATAAGCCAGAGCTAAGCAACTTTCAAGAGACATCAAAACATGTGCTTATATGACTGTAGAAGTGCTGTGTTGCCAGTTTGAAGGTACAGTTGGCTATATCCTATATAGTGTGGTACCTTAAGAAATCATGAATAGAGCTTCTCCATAACAGTTTACATAAAAATGAACATTCACTGTTATGCTAGGACTTAGTTCGATTATTTTTGGTACAGTACTAAAAAGCTCTATGGAAAAAAGCTGATCGATCCGTTTAGGGGCTTAAGTTTGCGTTATAAAAATGTAATTAACAGGTCCCAGCAGCAGCGGACAGGTTGCAGGTTATAAAGCTCGGGCCAGGTGTAATTTCAGCTGGTTGTTAATAAGACAGTTTTCCAGCCTGCAGATGGATAAATTTTATTTATTTATTTTAAGCGGTTACCCTCAACATCAAAGACACTTCTGATTCAGCTAAGCATCATTAGCTCACAAGTTAACTGCTTATACTGAAACTTTTTGACATTAGCTCCTGTTACAGATTGATACTTGATTCTGGTACGACAAAAAACTAATAGGAACTAGTCTGACAGCTCCCCTAATTGATAACCCGTTATGTTTCAAGTTTTTAAGCTAATTAACTGGTTGATTAGCTAGTAGCTGGTTAGCCTCTGCTGGCTGAGTAGGTCCTGTGGAGGGGATCAAGTGCAGGCAGCAAGCACGTTTGCAGCACGCTAGCTGAAGATGATAGCTTGGCTAACGTTAGCTGGGCGGATGAAGTCTTGTAAGCGATGGAAATGGGACGACCCTGCCCGAGGTACAATGTCACCTGTCCGGTATAAGGGACTGGCTGCAATGGTGATCACAGTGCCTAAAAATGCGTCTGGTGGGAACTATTCTACTCGGTAAGTTGAGCTTAATATTTATTTAATTACAATTCACACGACATAAAGGTATACATGCATCGCTGCTAAATTACAACTAAAATAGCTTCCCACCAAGAAGCGGGTGCATATAATTGCACCTCTCCATGATTGAGCTGATAGAATAGAAGCACAATGGAGGATGCTTGGATTAGCTGAGTAGTGCTAGCTAGGCTAGCTAGCCTATTTTAAAGGCAGCGTTTGGCTCGCAGCTAGCTACCTGGTTCGCCTTGGTAGTGGGCAGCCTATCCAGCCCAGCATCTCCGCCGCCACCGCCAGCTGCATCGCCGGGAGAGACGGGGCTCTTCGGAGCGGTCTGCTGTCCAGGCACAAGCTCCTTCTGGGCGACCCCTTGCTGCTTGCTTTTCTTCCTTGCCATTACGACCTTGTTTATAGTACGCTTTGACCAAGTTTGCACCAGTTTCGGTGATTTTAAGAGCACACTTTCGTTTCTTCTCGGACCTCAAAATGTTCTCTATCTCCTCCAGTCAAGACAACAGTCAATATGGCGGAGGACTCGCACACTCAGGAGTTCAAAGGTTAAACATACTGCTGGCAAAGAGGCTTCACTCCCGCATGGAGTATGCGGCTGCAAGCATATTCTCGCGGTGAAGCCAGGGGCCGCCATATTTAGTTAGGCAAACGTCTCCTCCCACTTTCCATTGGTATATATAATGTTTATTGAATTTTTTATTATTTATTGTCTTTATTGAGCAAACTGTAATACGTTTGAGTGTTTTCTATCCTTAAACATTTTGTTATCGAAATAAAATGTTTAGACTTGAGCTGTTTTTAGACGTTGAGGGAGACAGTGAAACTGAAATATATGAACTGAAATAAATGTGTAAGAGTTGGTTTGGTAACGGGAGCTACCTCACAAACAATCATCTTGTTGTGAAATGTTATCATTGACAATGTCGATAAACAAAATTAGAAAAATAGTGCCGTGTGAAAGACTTTTTTTTCAATAAACTTTATGGAAGGACAGGGACCAATCAGTGTTAGGTGCTTTCAGTGCTTTCGGAAATATTTTGATGGAGGTATAACACAGATATTGTTTGTTATATATAAAGAGTACAATTATAGCATTATTTCTTGGTTTATCATTTGCATAGCATAGGATTTTACATAAATGCTATATTATAACATTAGACATATGGCGCATTCTAGGTTGCAAACAACGATTGTACAGATTCCACCAAAACCCAGAATTCCCTGGATTAAATGAGCAAATTTGCCATAAACGACTTTTAGAAAAACTACTTAGCAATGCAAGTTGAACATGAAGGGAAATATGAAAAATAATTTGAACAGAACAAAAAGCGCTGACGCTATCCTGCTGACCATTATTTTTCTGAAGTTCAACTTTGACCCTAATAAAAAGACTTTTCAGAAGAAAAGCATATTGATTTGGATGAATCGATAGATAGTGTGGGGCATGTGGCGTGATAAGTTTAATGATAATATCCGAGTGGTTAGAGAATTTAGTCAAAATATTACGTAGAACGGTATAACCTGGAATGTTTATACACAATTTATTGAAAATTTCCGAGTTTGCGTGGGGCTCCTGAACGCACCACCGGTTTAGCGTTGTGTGGATTGAGGACGTAGCTCAGACACTGCTTCATCCACTTCGGGCTCTTGACGCTTGTACCACAGTAGCTTGTTTACCTGCTGCCGTTTCATTTGAGCAAAAAAAACCAAAACAATGGAAGGACAAGTGTGTAACATCCAGGTGCTTCTTCGGGCTGCCGAGTTTCTGGAGAGAAGAGAGCGGGGTAAGTGCTTTATGTCAACTGTCAGCCTAGAGAGGGGAGTTGATTGGTTATTGTTAAAACAACGATGAATCCACAATAAACCGGCGGCAAGTATGCACCTACACATAACGTAGAAACATCATACCGTGCAGCTGTTTAAGATTTAACCTGGATTCTAGGTGCAAGGTTATTTTTGGGCGGTGTTTTGCCATTTGACTCTGACCTACATATCGGTCGCATCTTTGTACTCAAAGGCGCCAATCTGGACCAGTTTGAAAATGAATCCGGGCGCCGCTGAGCGTTCGCTCCGGTGAATGAAAGGGGGGCATGAGGAAAGCCTATAAAGTATAACTTTCATTCATTGCTTACTAGCTGTAGACGCTATCCCGACTCCTTTTTTACGCGTGAGGTTGTAAGGCTGGTTGGATAAAAGCGAACAGATAGTGGATGATGGCGCCAAAAGCAAAACGTCCAGCTGATGACAACGGTAGACTGCGTTCAGCCTCCTTTTCTCCCACCTCCCCTACAGCACGGATGGTATATCACACTTTAATTACGCCGTAATAAAAGTTGATTTGTCCCACCGGCATTCGCACATGTTAAAATGAGGACACCTTTAACGTCGCAGCCAGTGTGCACTGTGATTTTGCCGGCGATTGTTGTGTAACACAGCTGTGATGCGTCTCCCTGCGCAGAGGCAGAACATGGGTATGCTTCCGTCTTGCCTCTCAGTCCAGCTCAGTCCGACAGGAGAAGCAAGCAGAAGAGCAAGAAGATATCTGCTGGTGGCAATAGGTGAATGCATTACATAACAAATAACTGACGACAGGGTGTGGCTCGGTCTGACTTTCAGTTTTGATAAGGCACCCTTTCAACCTTGAATACCTCTCACGCAGTAGCTGCTGAGTAGGAGTGCACTGTTGTGAATGTTTGACCAAACTGTCTGTTTGTTTACTTTGTTTGCAGGTCTGTTCATAATGAGCTGGAGAAAAACAGGTAATGGGCTTTTCTTCGTAATGCTACAGTAAAAGTTCATGTGTGTCAGATCAAGAGATTAAAAAAAACCCAAAAAGAGGGAAGTGTGGATTTGCAGCTTCACTTATTTCTCATTGTGCTTTGCAGACGGGCACAGCTGAGGCACTGCCTGGAGCAGCTGAAGAAGCAGGTCCCACTGTCATCGGACTCGATGAGGAACACCACTCTGAACCTGCTGAGACGAGCCCAGCTTCACATAAAGGTGCGAGATGTCTGAATTTGCATTGAATCTGACTCGAGTTTGGTTTACTTGTCATCCCAGCCATGTTTAAAATGTGGTGCTTTTCTCAGGGACACAATACGTGTTAAAGGGAGACCGCACAAGACAAAACAGAGAACAATGCTGAATCATGAAGTGGGGTAACACTGTGGTGTGGTGGTTAGCACTGCTGCCTCACAGCAAGAATATCCTGTGTTTAAATCCAGCCTCTCTGTGTGCAGTTTGCATGTTCTCCCTCTGTCTATGTGCTCTCTGCGGGTAGTTCGATTTACTCCCAAAGTCCAAAGACATGCATGTAATTGGTGTTTCTAAAGTTAAGCATTTAAATTAGTCAAGAACATTAAATATTCTGAATATATATGAATACTGTGTGTATAGAAAGTGGCTTGTTTTGTGCATTTTACAGAGCTTTTAGCAATCTCAATTTTTGCTTTTGCCTGTACTGTTTATCCTTTCTTCATTGCTCTGCTCCTGCACCTTTTTCCCGTTCAGAAGCTGCAGGAGCAGGATGAGCGTGCAGAGCAGCTGAAGGATCGTCTGCGCTGGGAGCAGCAAGAGCTGCGGGTTCGGCTGGAGCAGCTGCAGAGGGGCACGGAGAGGATGAGGAACGACAGCCAGGGGTCAACCATGTCCTCCGAGAGGTCGGACTCAGACAGAGGTAAGCCCCTCGGGTTTTTTTAATTTCACGTTCAAATTATTTCAGTCCTACTAGGAGCTGGCTGTCTCCTCAAAGGCAAATTGCAAGTTCAAGTTTAATGTGACGAGCGAAGTTTCCCGTATTTCTGCTGACGGATCGGATCTGTGCTCGGGTTTGTTGCAGAGGACGTTGAGGTTGATGTGGAGAGCATTGTGTTTGTGGACTCTGATGGACTGAGCATTACGCACACCGGCGCGGACCACTGTTACTCCAGCCTGGAAAAGGCCTGGCTATGACGGCGGTACACGAGTGGTAACTGGTTTATTGTCACCAGACGGACAGGAAGAGGAGAAAAACATTCCAAAAACAAAGGATGGGGGAGAATGGAGGAAGATGTTACTGTACAACTGAACATTTTTTTTGGCATTCTCTTGTCAGCACACGTCGGACAAAAAGCTAAAAGCCAACCTTTGGTTATGAAAGAGAGGTGTCCATTTGCACTGAATAGCAGTAAAATTCACTGGGCCGTGTCGTCACCAAACACATACTCGTGTGTGTTCTAGCATCAGTCATTAATGCTATTTTCCCCCAAAGCCATGAGGTGTCAAACTTCGTATCATTCATGCAGCTCTAATAATTCATTTTTTAAGGGCTTTTAAAATTCAGATAAGGGCTTTTATTCTAAACTTTTAACTTATTCTTTACTACAGAATGTCTGTACTGAATTCTGCCTTAAATCAGATCTGGTTTAGTATGCTATTCAGCTTTTACCTAGCACTAAGCTTATATCTCAGTATGCCACGTTTAGCATGCACTTAAACATTAATCTTGCTATGTCGGGGTTTTTTGTGTTTGTGTCCTATTGTATATCTAAGTGCAGTCATATACTTTGCTCCTTTTTATTCTATTGCACATAATTTCCAAATGTTGCACTTGTTTTGTCTCAAAAAGATTTGAAAGCAGCAAACAGAAGCAGGTCATATTTGCACATCGACATCAGGAAAATTCAGTAACATTGCCAAATATGAATTAGTTCACAATTTAAGAACTTAAAACTGTGAGAGGAGCACTTGGGAGCTGCTCACCGAGGCCTAATGGCAGTTTTATTCACTGCTAATGTTTCCTAGAAGTCTTTCCTACCTTCACTTGTGCATTTATCAATTAAATTGTTAATTATACACATAACAAATTCACCAGTCAGGTAGGCAGTTTGTACTTTTAATGATTATGTAGTTAATGCTGTATTACATATTCATTTCTGTGTATTCAATAGGGGTCGACCTATATTTTTTTAGTTTCAAAGACACCGATAACAGATATTTGAAACTTTTAGATAAACCTAACACTTTGCTGAAATGCCTCTGGGCAAGCTATGGCTACATAAACTGTTAATTTGTTTTAGTAAATTGCATCAATGTAAAAAAACAAAAAAAAAAGGTGCATTGTTCGATTTTTCAGTGTAATTGGGAAAAATCGCCGTGCTTGTAGTCATAGAAACACATAACATCGCAGTGTTTATTGCAACTTCTGCCGCTTCAGCATGGAAACACAGGTCTGCAGCAGGTGCCGGGAGCTGCTCCAAGCTTGCAGCTGCACTACTGTATAACATTGGTGTTGATGGGCTGTTATTTATGAGCCGTGGTCAAACAGAAGACTGCATCAGAGCCGGCGCGGCTCATTTACAGTTTATCTTGAAAGGCCTTGAAACTCTGAACACTGGTCGATCCCTAGTATTTAATAACTTAAGGTGCTTTCTACCCCCTCAATTCACTTTTGTATATGCAAGAGGCCTTATTACTTTATCCGTCTCTCCACCCAGTAATATTATGTAGCATTTTTGTACTGATGTAAGCTTCCTTTTTTTTAATGAATAAATATTTTCTGTATTTATTTGCTGTTGTGTTTGTTATTAGTCATTTTAGAGGTAAAAATCCATTCACCCCTAACTCGAGCAGGGCTGGCACACAGACATACACTTGACAGACAGCAAAGTGATTAGAAAGACAAAGTCAATTTATTGACAAGCTGATAAAGGACACATTTTTGCATGGGTTGCATCACCAGAGCTTAGATGAATGTACAGTTCAAGGTAGCTTTTGTGCCTTTTTTTTGTTTTGTTTTTTTTAAATGCACAATCACAATTCAAGTTTTCAGAGGTTTCTTCTTGAGCAATGACACCAACTGTGCCAAACTCTTCAGTCCAACTTGAGGCAAGGAGATGCAGTAATGCGATTTAAGTGATGTAGAGCGAACTAAACCAGCAACTGTATGCAAGATTAAATAAAACCAATCATAAACGAGAATGCCTTAATCACAAATTCGGTGTGACCTTATCTACTGGAGCTTTAAAGACAACGTGACTTGCTTTAGACGAGGCATACTCAAAGGAACGGAGTTTAAAAAAACAAACAAAAAACAAGACAATGGGCACGACTGGAGCAAAGGTCGAACAACAGCTTCAATCATTTTATGGCAGCGCCAGTAATAACCAACCATTCCTGTCTAAGACCTGCGTCTCTGGTAAATACTGAGGTGATGTGGCGTAGATACGCTCGGCAATATATTTCTAGTGTGGCATGTAGAGGGAGGCAGGAACAGGCTGTTTAACCCAGCTCAGGTCTTTTATGGTCCACCCACCATTTCAGTTGGATGCGCCCTCACAGAGGTGTCTAACCATGACTGGGATCGGTGAGTTCTGCTGCAGAATCACTTTATTTGTGTAGCTTGTCACACGTATTGCTTCTTCTGGGCATGCGAGGCGAGGTCTTTGGCTTTCTCTTTAGCAGCCAGAGCCGTCTCTCTCGCCCTCTATGTAGCCGTCGCCGCTAAAGTTCTCGATGGAGTTTCACCTACACGGGGACAAAACACAGCTCTTCATTGGATTCATCCAGGTTTTCGTGCCTAAGCAGCTAACACTTCCAATTATTACTATAATCAGTTTTCCAGATTCATGAAAAAAGCAACAGTCACCTTATTTTAGAAGAATATGCAGTTCCATGCACGAATTACTGATGTTATTATATTATGCTGCTCAGAAAAAAATGAATAAATAAAAAGGGAGACACTTGATCACCACAGTTTAACACAGAGTCAGTTAAACTTAAGGGATATCCATCTGTCCTATTAGGAAGCATCAACCACTGACTCCATTTAACCTGCTTTGGGATAAATAAAAGCGACAACAGGTAAAGTGGGAGGCAAAGAGAAGGCAACCATCAAAAAGAGAATACTTCTGCAAGGCGATGACCACAGACCATTGTTCTCACCTTTTCCCCAACTGATTTTTCTCTAACTTTACGTTTTCTTTGTGTCACTAGTCACTACTGATACAATAGCTGCAATCCATTCAGCATATACAGGTAGTTCGGTTCCTCCGGGATTCCAGCCATACATGCCATTGCAAGAAGGGTTGCTGTGTCTCCCAGGGCCATCCACCCCAGTAGCAGCACCACTATGTGACTCTGTGTGAGGAGGAACATGTGGAGGGCTGCCAGAGCCCTAAAGAATGAGCTCCAGAGGGCTACACGTGTTAACCTCGATGCTTCCATCAGAAACAGACTCCATGAAAATGGCATAAAGTCCCAGTGTCTTTAAGTGGGACCTGTGCCAGCAGAACAATGCTATACAGCCTCCGATAGTGCCAATTCTCTTCAAAGGACGCAAACTGACACGGAGCCCGTGTGACAAGCATAAAGGTGTCTGGAGATGCTGGGAAGCACTATGTCGCCTGCCGCTCACAATTCTAGTGTTCTCCAGGAAATGCCACTCCAACAGCACAGTGTTGGTGTGTGAGCACAAATCCTGCTAAAGGACGTTGGGCTCCAATCCTCATGTGTTACACTGAGGCGATCAAGTGTTCCCTTAATTTTTTTGAGCAGTTTGAACCGATTTGGAAAACCCATATTAGCATCAGCCACAAACTTACAATAGGAATAAAATGGGAATAAGAACTAAGAATAATTTACCTTGTATTTTGGCAAGCACATACTCGAAGCCTTTCATGGTTTTTGTCACACCGGTCTTGAATTTTGCGTGCCCAAATTCCTGGAAGGTGAAAAACAAAGTTATAAAAGATGCATGAGGCATAACAACACATGACTCACATCCTCATATATGGGCTGTCAACAACTACTGTAATTCTCTGTCATAAGTCATTTACTACTTCAGGTCCTGGCCGACAGCTTCAGCTGCTCAGCTGTTGCATCTTAACACTGTATTATGTTTCTAAATACAGAACAAATGCAAGGTGGGCGAGTGTTACTCTCGGTCACCCCCGACTACTTTCCCTCAGCTGTTATGTAGCGCAGCACTCTGCTTTACTCCACTGACCTGAATAGCTCTAGAGAGCCCGTAGACATTGGAGGAGACCCAAGCTTCTCTCTTAATCTCGGTCCAGCTGCCATTCTCAGGGTTAATTCTGTAGTGACACCGCTCTTCTACAGACTGTCAGCGAGAAAAAACAAAAGCAAAATGAGCCAAAGGTGCCACTTTGTGCACTGCTGATGAATGCTGCTTAAGGCACACAAACGCCAATGTACCATTAGGCGAGCGTGGCTGATGTTCCACGTGAGCGTGGTCATGGTCCTTTTCTGAGGGTCCACGATGGAGTCCTCGATGATGTACGCCAAGCTGGCCATGTGCTTTGGAAGGTAGCGCTCCATCCAGCGAGGGGCATGGCTAGTTTTGGTCAAAAGACGCCTGGAAATGAGGCAGTTGGTTGGGGTAACCTCTCGGAAAATGATATCTTCAGTCAAGACATGGTTACTGTGAAAGAAGAAGAAGAAGAAGGACGGATGGATTAAGATGACGTGAAACCTGGATTATTTAGGTTTATGGTCCTGAAAAATCTCTATTTTTGCTTCAGTTCAATAAGAATTTACCGTTTTTAATCCACACAACAGTTCAAAATCGAAATATATTACATTTAAACATTCTATGAAACAGTGACAAACACAGAAATACTAAACTAGACACTGTATTTTTAGCTTGACAAGAACTATTAAGCTTCAATTAAATGGACAAACTGATGATTCAATTAAAAGCACAACTAACATTTGCTTTCACACTCATTGTGACTTGATTACGGTGATTTTTTCCCCCTCTTTATTACCCGAATGGCAGTTCGGTTGGTAAAAATGGCAGAATGATGAAGAAACTGAGCTATTTAGAAACTGCTTGGTCCCCTAAAGTATTATTATTATTATTATTTTTATCTCCATTTAATTTTTTATGCGAACAATCTTCAGCAGAAAATTGGCAAAATAAAGTCAAAACTATGCGTTTCCTGAAAATGACTTTCCAGGATCTTCCACTTAACCATCTCAGTAGGTGAATGCTAAGATGTAATCTAATCATGTTGTTCTTGCAATGTAAAACAAAAAAGAGATGTAAAAAGAATCTTGTTCACTGAAGTAACAACAACAAAAATGTTCTTAATAATAAAAATAAATAGACTTTAGATAAAAACAAAAATGAACCAAGTGGAAAAAATGCCGTGGGAATACACAAACCGTCCTATGAATCAGCAGAACAAGCACGAGGAAGTGTTGGTGAATACTCTTATCGAGTCTGGGAGATATACCTGACTGTAAGTCACATGACTTCTCTGAGCGTTGCGTTTGTAAAACATAATGTCTCAAAAGTTGTCTCATAAGAAACAAAAGTGAAACAAAATTCATTGATCATCACAACATGACACAGTCTCATATTCATGCTAAAAAAAATTTTTAAACTGGAGTGTTTACTGAACATTTGGATACATAAAATGTGTTTTTAATTTTATCATTTTTTTTCTATATCGCTATATCGGTTTGTTTATCTTAAACAAAAACATATGAAGGGGAAGTTTAAAAAAAAATAAAAATCACACTGATGATGTCACATTCTCAAAACACTTGCCCTTTAAGCGTAAAGATTAGGAAAACTATGATAATGCAGACTGTATTCCATCCCTGTGTCTTTGTCTCCTTTTTTCTCCCTTCCCCCAACTAGCATGACAGAGGAGTCTGGACCTGTTAGTCTCTTCCTGTTAAAATGGGAGTTCTTCCACCCCACAGTCATCTAGTGCTTACAGAAAGAGGCGATCAGCTGGGTTTGGGACGTTGACTCTTAAACTCTAGGCTCTTCACATTGCAAGGTGACTTTTTGTTGCCTTATTGGGTGCAGTTTACAGTCCATTAAAAAAAATATTACAGGTTATAAGAAAGATGTTTGATACGAATGCGTATCCACACACAAACCCCTCACCTCACCTGTAAGGGTTGGGATATCGTTGCCAGAAAGCAACACAGACTTGGTCCCAGGTGTTTTTTAGCAGACCTGTACAGCAGAAATATTTCACCATTGTTCCCTTGGTTTACCCTGCAAACACACAGAACAAACAGCGTGATAGTTAGCCAGATGTGTTCAGATAATTTTCAGATGCCACATCAGGACGAAGCTGTAAATAGCGGTGTCAATGTGATAAAACAACTCAGCGATGACAACCCTTATGTTCCAAAATAAATACAACCCATTGGTTTTTTTCAGCTACAACCACAGGTGTCAATAAACACCTGAAGGTAAACACTATAGCGTTACCTTTAACACCTTTTTACCTCACAACTCCAGCTGTGTCCAACTGTGTCTCGTCGCGTGACTGACAACAAACAATGTAAGCCTCATTAAGACCGCAGACTGTGACATATTTCAACAACGAGAGGCCTAACGTGAGATAAAACACTGCTATCCTGTTTTATCACGTCCGCACTCTTTAGCTTCCCCTTTAGCATAGCCTAGCATGAGGCAAGCCACATGAATGAATGGCACAGCGTACCCCAGAAAATTCTACTACTGACATTCAATAAGCACATTTTTTAGAGTCAGCTCAGATGAAAAGGCGATTACCTGCACGGCGATACCATTTACAAAATGAGAATTTGCATTTTACGCTCCCATCGGGAAGAATTTCACCGCGGATAAAGTCCGAAAATCATGTCAAACGTAACTGGAGCAAAAAAGGAAGGTCAAACGAGACGCTATATCCGGTTAGGTGGGGCGTGTGCAACGCCTGCTTGGGACACTAGAGGGCAGCAGGTGACCGCGCAAGACACTACAGAAGAGTCTCAAAACTTTCTGTCTGAACTTTATAATGACGTGTGAGGGTGAATTTTAAGTCAGCTCTCAACAACTGGAACTGGCATCTTTAGGACTCCCTGAACAAATATGCATCCCAGAATCCCAAATAACGTGTTCCTGTTTAAAAAAGAAGTGTCCACACGTCCACCGTAATGGTGTGTGATGCAATGGATACAAGCTGAGTGCTGTTCTGCTGGTTGGACTGATAGCACTCACAGCTCTCATAATAATTTAGAGGACTAAAAAGGGATATAGGTCAAACAAGGGAATAAAACAGCAATGTGGGTGTCAGGAGCCAGTAATGCCAGAGCAATAAGCATTTTCTCTGCTGTATAATGAATCACAATGTGTAGGCCACATACAAATGCTTCACTGGAATCACTTGACCCACTTATTTTTTTTTCTTTTTTAAAATAAACAAAAAAAAATATGTGAAAGACTCATAAACGTGTGACTTGTACTAAAAAAAGATCTCCTATTCACCTCTTTTAATTTTCACATGGATATTTCATCAATCGGGCTTACCATACATGTGGGGAGTCCCTGCATGCTGCCAATGTTCAGTACATTTTCAAACTATGTCACAGAAGAATATAACAGCCATTTACTTGACTTACTTATATTTATCCAAACCTGGATCTCTTTATTTGACAAGGACATGCAAAACATAGTTTCTCCCCATAGTCAGATCAGGTCCAGGATTTGCATGTGTAATAGGGGCTCATTATGTCTACCAAGAGGTGCTGCGGTTGATTAATATTCCTGTTCATTAAACAGTCAACAAAGGGCACTTTATCAGCACTGCAATAAATGTAGAATCACACATTCTGACTTCTTCCAAAAGCGTTTCTTTTTTCTAAGAAATCTGCGAAGCAGCTGGCTGCATTTTGTGCTAAAGACATCAATAATACGCTGCTCTCGCTCTCGCTCTACAGAGTCCCATTCCTCTGGAAACAGGGTCCTGCTGCTTCATCCAATCAGGAACAGCTGGTTGCCAGGTGAGGACAATTAACTTCCTGTTTGGACAGTAATATATCGATCGCCTCCTCTGGATTCCTTGAACTAGGGTTGAATGTTACGCTGCCAGAACACTTATAATTAATCCAGAATGTAGCTGTTGGATTAATTAGCTGAAAACCATCCAGATATTTTTTGAGCAGACATCAAGTAGAAAAAACAAAACAGGTGTGAAAAATGAAACTCTCACTGTCACAGTAATAACAGTCTTCCCTTAAGACTGTGTCATAAATTTGGACATGGCAAACGAAAGAGAGCTCCTCATTTTACACGAGAACACATTATACACTGTACCTAGTTAAATAACACCTAAGTAAACACCTTAAACACATTTCTTAATAGTTGTTTTTACTAGTGCTGTTAGCAAAGGAAAAAGAACTTCACATGAAGCAATTTGCATGCAAAGCTTTGGGTCTTCTCCAGTGACACAGATACTCAAGATCAAACCATTAAAGTAAAAAAAAAAAGGCTACTTTTTGAAAGACAAACGCCAACGGAGCAGAGGGGCGCGCATACGTTCATATACTACAGATGCCTTGAAACGTGCAAATCAAGTCACACAGCAGTGGGAGGGTGTCCGCCGTTACGGCCGTTCAGAGTCATCCTCCTCAAGGAGCGAGTCCTGAATGAGCCTTCCAGGTGGAAAGTATCCGGCTTGTCTTCGCACCGGAACACCATGAGGAAGCCATTCCTGTAGTTTTTATTCATCCATCCGTACAGGAGAGGGTTGGTAAAAGTTGAACACATAGCCACAATGTGGAACACGGTGTATATTAGTTTATACTCCTCGAGCCTGAGCACCAGGTCCAGGTCGATGGCCAGCTGAAAGGCATGGAAGGGCAGCCAGCAGATGGCAAACACCACCACCACAAGCGCCAGCATCTTTGTGGTCTTTTTGCGGCGGTTGATGCTGTCATTGCGGCTTGATGGGCTGATGTGATTTCTCAGTTTGACCCAGATGCAGATGTAGGCGTAACTGATCATGGCTAGAGGAATGATATACTGCAGGAGGAGCATTGAGAGGCTGAAGATGAGCCCATCCCTGCTGGTCACTTGGGGCCACTTTTCAGTGCAGACGGGAAAGCGCTGGTTGATCGACGGGATCTCTTCGTAGCGGAACTCTCTGAAGATGGCGAGGGGTGCTGCCAGGACAGCAGACACAGTCCAGGTGAATGCCATGATGAGGAAGCTCGAGTGCCACGTGAGCCGCATTCCGAGGTGGAACACGATGCAGCGATAGCGCTCCAGAGCTATGACAGTCATGGTGAGGATGGATACGTGCACACTCAGAGCCTGGGCAAAGGGCACCATGTGGCACAACACAGCCCCAAATGTCCACTCTTCTAGAAGAGTGTAAACCAGCGTGAAGGGCAAACAGAAGGTGTTCACGAGAAGGTCTGCCAGGGCCAGGTTAGCTATGAAGAAGTTGGTGACTGTTCGCATGTTTCTGTAGCGAACTATCATGTAGATGACGAGAGCATTGCCCAGCAGCCCCAGCAGGATGATAAGCGAGTAAGCTGTGATCAGGCTGATCTGGACTCCAAGGTGCTTGATGATGTCAGTGTGGTATCCAGGCTGGTGCAAGCCCATGCTGTCGTTAAGCAGAAACAAGGGATCGGTTTCTCTAGCCTCGTCTTCTCCCGTGCTGTTGGATATGTCCGGTGGGCTCATTTTGGAAGATGCTAGATCAAGGCTGACTTTACACCTGAGCAGAGAAAATAGAAAATGACTGTTTAAGAGAATATCCCATCAGAGGTTTCTCATCACGCCTGATCAACATTTCTTGAACTCTTACCTCCAGGATGTACATCAATTAAGCCCTCACAGACTTCTCATGCACACTGGCGTTTACACACCACTGTGTATTTAAATATTAGTTATTATTCATCTCTGTCTCTCTTCCAAGGCATGTTTTTTGCCCTGTCTTTCTCCCCTCACCACAAAGCGGTAACGGCTCCCTGAGTCTGGTTCTGCTGAGATATTGTCCTCTTATAAGGGAGTTTTTCCTTCCCACTGTCAAAAAGTGCTTTCTCAGAGGGGGTTGTCTGGCTGCTGGGGTTTTTCTGTATTATTGTAGACTCTTTACCTTACAATGCTAAGAATTTTCTAAATAAAATAAGTCAAACTGAATTGGATACTGGCAGTACAACTATGGGAATCTGAACATTAGAGCTCTTTGATCAAGTGTCGAGGTGTGTTACTCTTCTATCCATTTGTTTCGTGTCTTTTATACACTGTAATACCTTCTGTCACTCACAGAAGTGAACTGCAGACATTCCTGTCAGTGTATTAGGACAGACAAGTGGCATTATTAGTGATGCATTGTACTTCAAACCATGTTTTTTATTTTCAGTTTTGCTCTGCACTGCAAGAGAGCTAAAATCCAACTTTCTTAAAAAACATGGCTCCACAGTTATTTCTTTGTTCCCTTTACATCACCTGCAAATACCACTCTGATATTAAAGAGATGTAGTGTTTAACCAAAAGATAATGAAACAATTTAGTAGATATGAGACGCCTCTAATTCGTACGGCCTCATTATTAGAACACTTGTCCACGACTGTGTTGAGGAGGTAGATGTTCTGAAAAAGTAAGAAAATTAAACATGAATTTTAATGAATAGATCGACAGTTTGAATCAACTGAAGAACAGCTTGCTTTGTAGCAGCTTCTTGAAAGCCCTATGCAAAAATAGAACCAGATATCACGAGCTATTTACTGTGGAATATTGTCTGGGCTGTGCAAAAAAACACACAAAAAAACCCCTCTAAGAGACATGAAAACCTGTACTATTAGAAAGAATAAAGAAAACATGATGGAGGAAGCAGTGAGATCAAGATTGAGCCAGTTCAAAGCTGCATCATTAGAGTTGCAGGCAGGTTGCATGCATAGTCTGAATCTTATAAAGGGAACATTGTGTTTTTGTGCTTAACATTAAACAACCTTTCATAAGTAAAAATATTCTGTAGTTCATCATCTAGTCATTTATGGTAGTTTACCTGTGTACAGCCAAGAGCCGCTGCTGAGTGCAGACAGTGCATGTTGTAATGACATGTATAACTACAGCTGCAGCTTGGCTCTTAAAGGATAAAAGCCAAGTCTCATCCTTATTAGGCAAATGCATGTAAATTGCATTATGTTATGTTAACCACAGTAAGATGCTTTGAGGAAATCCATTTCCTAGGGATTCTCAATCATAAAACCTGGACCTGCCCTTATGGGCCTGATTAAGCTTTGCAATTTTTATTGATTTTTATTTTTATTTATATTTATTTTTTGTGGCCATCACTTAATGCTTAAAGTTTTCTGAGACAAACCAGGTCACCCTTTAGTGAGAGGTCATCTCTTTGGTGACAGACACTCCTTGATTTCTCGGGGGATCCAGCCTATTTCCTGAGAACCACTAGAAAGACTATCTTTCACTGACATCATCGCTTTTCCCACGATTTTACCAAAACAGTAAAACAGTGAAGCCAATGGCATTTGGAAGTATTGTGTTCTCGCCCATAATGTTACGGTTAAACTAAAGGTATTGCATTGCAGATGTGTCGTGTCTCCAAGCTCCTGCACAATTCCCTGATATTTGAAACCATTCATACGTGTCGGTTCCTTGAAATATTAGCGGTGAAGAGAAAACAGAGACTCTTAGGACATCGGACAAAATAATCTATAGTTGACTGATTTGTAAGATGCCTCGAAATCCATATGTAGGGATCACCGAAGATGTGATCATGGTGCTACAACAGGTGTTGCAGTGCCAGTAACCCGAGGAACATGAAAACCCTGCCTTAACCTGCCTGGTACACACCGCTGCACCAGGCAGGTTAAGCCATGCACTTTATAAACCATTATTTACCCTTTTTTGTTCAATGATAGGAACCTTGTGCCACTACACCTGCTCGATCAAACATCCTCAGCACAACCTGATTCAATTCAAGCTAACTCTACATATTACTACCAAATAATAATAACGAGGCGATTTATTTCTAATTGAGTGTGCATCGGTGCGTAATTTGTGCCAATTTGTTCAACTTACTCAGCAGCGCGCATTCAAACATCTCCAACTGAGCTCTGAGAGATTAGTTAACCGACTTGACAGGTGCAAAACGTCTCTCTCCAACGCAGAGTCTCAGGTACGCAGTCTGGACTCTTTTCATCCAGCACGTTTTCTTTTATCCAAATTACGCACATTTCATAGTTCTATCAGCTACAGGTTACGCTGTCACAAAAGAGCAGAGAAATCATGTCTTGCACCTCAAAGGGGGAGTCCATGTATGTCCCACAACTATAGCTTCGCAATATCCATTTTAAGTCTATCCACACATTAATCGACTCACCTGTCCCCCTATATCTCCTTTGTGCAAACGTGTCTTCACCGGAGAGTGTCATGAAACAAGTGGGAAAAAATCTCGAAGCTCCTCCCAGCGTGCAGCGCCTGGTGCGCATCTTGTGGCTCGACTGTTTTGTGTGTTCCTGTCAGGTTTACAGGGTGCAGTGTAAGCCTCCACATCTGTGCCAGCCTGCCAGAGACAGAGACTGGAGATCTGCGCAGGGTTTGCGCTTTGCAAATCACACTTTTTTTTGTAATGTTTTCATTTATTTTATTTACTTTCACCAGGCAAAGAAATCAAATAAAACACCATAAAGCATCCTTTAAAGTGCCAAAGCACACTCAGTCTACGTCACTGGGTTTTCCAAATTCATCTCCATTTGTTATTTCATTTATTTCCTGCCAAGTATTCCGTTTTTCCCCTCCTCGAAGCTTTGCCCTTGTTCATGTGTACAATATTTGATGAACTTTGGAACAAAACATGGCTTTAAAGCAGATAATTTAAATGGCTGTATATTTGATTCTCGGGATCACTGTCTCAACTGATCTAATTTCTTTAATGAAAAACATTTAAAGTGCAGCTTAACGCAAATTTCGTGTTGCTTTGCAGAGAGCCATTGTTAAGCTAACTGTCATATTGAGTTGATTAGCCCGGAAAACAATACAAGACAACAAGGAGCCTCTCGCTTTTTTCCCCTGTGAGCTCCCACGATACCTAAAATAGATTAAAGTTCATGCTGATGGCACAGAAAGTCACTAAACTGTAGTCCCTTTGACCCTGCAGTGTCGTGGGAGATGTCAGTCAATATTTTAGTATTCAGAGTGTGTCATTTACCTGTATTATTCTCTATTGGGAGGGGCGCG